TATATATATATATATATATATATCCCGTTAGTTGACTTGTGTCCTTTTACCCAACAGTTTACGACACAACCCCAACTATGCTTCGGTGTTAGACAGAGGTTTTATTAATTACTTAAACCACTGTGTTGGGTGACCAATCAGGTGTTTTGGTTTGTCGACTCGACGGGGTGCAAGTACCTGCCTCCTGACGGAGGGATGTGGACACGGTTGCTGGAGTGAAAACAACCTGTGATATAACCAAATAATGGGGTTGTGGGACCAGGTGTGGGGCCTCCTCCACACCTGTGCTCGAAGGGAGTTTGGATGTTTTAATTTCTGGGACCGAAAAGAGTGGTGGGTGGATAGTGTTAAATGAACCTTGGAGTCGTTTCGCTCTATCTCGGACAGGGTCAAGCTCCTGCGGGGTCCAGGACGGACACCGAAACGTTGGTCTAGGTTTCCTATCCAGGTTTTATTCAGTGTTGAAATATACAATCAGAAGTGAAAATTTAGAGTGGAAAATATTTAGAAGTGGGATATGTATCAGTGTGGGAAATATATTATAGTGGGGAATATATCAGTGGGAAATTTTTCGTGTGAAAAATAGCAGTGGGAAATATCTAGAGTGTGAAATATATAATTTAAGTGGGAAAAATTTCAAGAGAGGGCACATAGCAGTCAGAAGTGATGGCATCATATTGATGTTAGTTGGATAATTGAGGCGTAGAGAGGGAGGATGGCGTGGGCGGCGGGGCGGCTGTAGAGGTTTTCGGCAGCGTGGCTGGTCGGGCGGCTACCGCAGGGATATGGGCGTGGCCGACCACCAGCTCCGCCAATGGGTCGACGGTGGTGGCGGTGGTGGTCCAGGGCGGACACGGTCACCGCCGCCACAGTTATGATCGGCCGCTGCGGTGAACGGCACCCGTCATGACGGCTAGACCCCACGGGCCCCCTGTGTCCCCGCCGACCCCCGCGCCACCGCCTCACATCCGCGCCATGAGTGACCCGTCGGGGCCCCTCGCGCCTCACGCCCGCGCCGCCCACGCTTCCCCGTCTCCATCCTCCTGGCGGGGTCGCGCTGTCATGGTGCCGCCGGTCGTCAGCTTTCAACTGTGTACCATCCATTGGAGGGCCCGCGATGCTGACAATTCGGCACTGCAACCTGGTGCTTTCGAGTCATACTTGGCACTGCCCGGCATCTCCGATCTCACGCAGCGACACGCGGGCTCCCATGGGAAAAAAATTCGACTTCTTCGCGGCTCGGGAGTGCGTATCGGACAGGAACGAAGCGCCGCCGCAGAGGCAAGTCCCCCGCTGCCGGCCGTCACCCGGCCACCACCTTAGCGCTGGTATCCCGTTATGTCCTCCGTTAGGTCTCTACGTGCTTAGGAACGTACCGCTGTTGTGAGCCCTCTCTACATACCATGATGGCGCCGCGATCAGAGCAACAGCAGCAACAGCAGCAGCAACAGCACTGGAAGGCAGCAGCAGAGCGCTGGGGTATCGCAGGGCACTGGGCGGGGGCAGACGCCCAGGCCAAGAAGCGATTTATTGCAACTACTGCAACAAGGCAGTTCACGAAGAGTTACAATTGTTGATCAGAGAGAACGCACTGGACGGAGCGTCGTACACTGTGACATATGCGGCAAGGCCTGTCGTCGCCAAGACCACCTTAGGGACCCAAGGTTAAGACTGACGCTTTCAGGACCATCTAGGGACCACATCTAAGACTGACGCCTTCATTACCATCTTAGAGACGAGGTAAGATCGACTCCTTCAGGCCAAACTTAGAGACCACAGTAAGACCTGCCCGCCTTGGACATCCTAGAGACCACAGGTAAGACGCTGACACCTTCAGGACCATCCTTAGGGACCACAGTATGACCTGACCTTCTTCAGGCCCAATCATAGGGGACCACATTTGGACTTTCCGTCGTAGGACCACCAATTGAACACTGGTCAAAGACACTGTCTCAGCTCCTGAGGAATGGACCCTCTAAAAGGGTGGACCGGGCACACTTGATGCCAGTGAAGTCGCTCTTGAAGGTTGTGCAAGGAATGAGGACACACTTTCCCCTGATTACCTTCATTTTCCTGGCGCTGTTTGACCCATACAGGTTAGGCGCTCCCATATTGAGATAAAGAAAGCAACACAGCAAAAACAAACAACAACAATAGTAATAATAAATATAAAAAATAATAATAATAATAATAATTAATAAAATAATAATAATAATAATAATAATAATATAATTATAATAATTTATTATTATTATTATTATTATTATTTTATTATTATTAATTATTATTATTATTATTATTATTATTATTAGTTATTATTATTATTATTATATTATATTATTATTATTATAGTTCTTTGTTCCATTTTTGTTAGTGATTAATATTTTTAATAATGAAATTATTTAATTGTTATGATTTTTCGTTGTGTTATCATTATCATATATATATATTTTATATATTATTATATATATATATATATATATCTATATTATATATTATATATATCTTTTATATATATATCTATATATATAATATATTATATAATATATATTTATATATATATATTTTATGTCGTGTGAATATGTAAAAACTGGTCCCATTAGCCAGAACTCATTTTAAAATTATGTCTTTCTGAAATTTTCTCTTATAGTTTTAACGAATATATTTTCATTAATGTTAATGTAAAAATTTTTAATTTGCACAAAGATCTTAGAAAACTACCTAACCTTATTTAACAGAGCAATTTTTTTAGTCTATCCGCCAACTAAAATATATTTTAAATACGTTTACATAATATGTATAAACAAACATAAACAAATTATTTTTTTTCGTTAGGTTCAGTAATGATTTTGGAGAAGTTATTGATACACAAATTTTCATCTTGTCCTATATGGCAAGATGAGAGTTGCATATTTAAGCCCAAGATCGGTAAATCTGCCTATTCGGCAGAATATATATATATATATATATCTATATATATATATATATATATATATTAACTATATTTATATATATATATTTATAGTTATATACTGTATATAATATATAATATATATTTATATATATCAATAAACAACACTGCATAGCAAGGACTCGAAACCATGCTGCTTTGCCTGAATCATGGTGGCGAAAACACATGTGCCTATATCATGGCCAAAGCAGCATTGGTTTCAGTCCTTTAGGCTAGGCAGTGGTTGTTTTGATTTATACTATAAATCATATTATATATTATATATATATATATTATATATATATATCTTTTATCCATTATATATATTTATAATATATATATATTATATTATACATTAATGATAGCATCAAGGAGTCTGTGAGACAAAGAACTTTGTTCCATTGAAGTAAAGTGGGGAATGTATGAGAGGATACTTATACAACGCTCTTATAGGGCGTGCTGAAGCATGGGTTGTAAATGTTGCCAACAAGGAGAAGGCTGGGAGGCAGTGGAGATGTCGTGTCGTGTTGAGGGCAATTGTGGTGTGAATATACATGCGAGATTTGTAGTTGGAACTAGAAGGGAGGTACGAGATTACAAAACTATTCATCCAGAGGGCTGAGGAGGGCATTGTTAGAGGTGGTTCGGATATGTACAAAAGGTTGGAACAAACTAGAATGACGAGAGTGAGATTAATGTAGAGGAGGGAAGGCGAGGTATTAGAGGTGTCGGCCTAGGAAAAGGTTGGAGGGAGGGGGGGTAAGGAGGTTTTGGTTGTGGGGGCTTGGACTTCCAGCCACGCACGCGTGAAAGTGTTAAATAGAGACTAATGGAGATAAATAGGTTTTAGGATTTTGACGTGATGTTGAGTGTGAGCAAGGTAACATTTTATGGAGTGAATCAGGGAAACGCAGGCGGACTTGAGTCCTGGAGATGGGAAGTACAGGTCTGCATCTGAGGGAGGGGTGTTAATGTGGCAGTTTTATAACTGTAGTGTAAACGTGCTATGGCAAGACAGTGTTGGTAGTGAACGGATGGTGAAATGTTTTCCTTTTAGTGACCCTGCTTGGTGGAAAACGGCGAAGTGTTTAATATATATAGTATCATATTTATATATATATATTATATATTATCTATCTATGTATGTATGTATGTAGGTATGTATGTGTATCACAGCACTAAAAAACGTGGTAAGCCCCACTCCACTCGTGTAGCAATAGCAGAGAATTATAAGATGATTGCGCTAACGTCATCATCATAAAAACTTCCAAAAATACTTTAAAAAGCAGCAGTACTTCCATATGGATCACAACAAGGAGGACCATGGTTCGAGAGCGTTCGCTCCTGCCTCTCGCAGGTCGCTCCTGGCCTCTCGCAGTCGCTTCTGCCTCTCGAGGTCGTTCTGCCTTCGCCAACTCTGGACCATACGATATGGTCTTAGGTGCGTGGACAGGATAAACAGAATTCAGCTGTAGTATACACAGAGTTTGCAAAGCCTTTCGACAAGTGCGATCCTGGCGCATAGCGCACAAAATGCTGTGGGAAAATTAATTAGTGGGAATTGGACAGATGTGATTTAAACTTCTAACAAACAGAGCGGCGTAGAGTAATAGGAATAAAAAACGTTGACTCATAAGACGTGTTCGAGGGGGCGGTGACCCCCTCTGGTATTAACGTGGAACCTTTATCATGTTCTTTTCTAAGTAGATATGTGTAAAAATGAGCAATTTACCACTTGAGAAATTTACAGGTTTGTGAAAAAGAGATAACGTTAAATAAGAGAAAATTACCACATGATTTACGTAAAAAAATGTAAAACACTGGTTAATGTAAAATAAAAAAATATGCAGGAGAAACTGATGGCACGATTTATGTAAAAAAAAGTGAAAAAAAAACGGAGATTTACAATACAGTTCGTGTAAAACGTTTAAAATTAGAATTTTATGATATAATTTACGTAAAAAACGCAAAATACAAGATTTACAATATGAATAATAGAAAAATCTGAAACAGAAATTTACAACATAGTCCATGAAAAAAAAAAAAAAAAAAAATTCAACATGGTACATATAAATAACGTGAATCATTTAGCGTAAATCATTTACAGAGATTTTTTAAACGTGTGATTATGAACGTTCCGCTTTAACAAATTATTGATTGCAACAATTTAAATATTTACAAGTCATTATTATTATTATTATTATTGTTATTATTATTATATTGATGTGATATACTAAACCCGTCGGAGCTGTACATCGCCTGGAGACTGGCACGTAATCAGGTTTGATCCAAGGAAATGGAGAGGTGGCTCCGGTTCCTCAGATCAAGAGCCCTTCACCAATACCAACTCAGAAGTCTCGACTTAAATGATAATTAAAGCTATCAGCACTAGTACAACCCTCTATAATTACCCTACCAACCCCCTATAATGGCACTCTTAACCTCCCTATAATTGAACTCTCAACCCTTTAAAATTACTCCTTCCTCTATAATTACTCCCTCACCCCTCTATAATTACTCCCTCACCCCTCTATAATTACTCCCTCACCCCTCTATAATTACTCCCTCACCCCTCTATAATTACTCCCTCACCCCTCTATAATTACTCGCTCATCTCTCTATAATTACTTTCAGCCGCTTAAATTAGAAATTATTGCCACACTGAATTATTTCAGTCCTCATTGGGTTATTTAACAAGATTATTTAACATTCAGGATTATTAAACAAGCAGGATTATTTAATAATCAAGATTATTCATGGATTTCTTTTGGTTGGTTCACATTTTTCTGGATAGTTTAATTGCTATCTGGATAGTATGAAAGCTATCTAAATACTTTAGAATATATGTGGATAGTTTGGAACCTATCTGAATAGTTTGGGGACCATCTGGTTAGTTTTGGTTTAAATTAAGGTTATTGACAAACCTCTGTATTATTCTGTCACTGTGATTGATTAGATCAATCTTGCTATTTAACAGCATCTGGGGAGAGGGATGTAATCAGGCTTGATCCAAGGAAGAGGAGAGGAACTCGAGATCATTGGATCAGGAGCTCTTCACTGGCATCAAGGCACCTCCCAATATCCCTCCTTGAGGGGACTTCCAAGGGTACTACTTCTCCCTCCTGGAGGCCGCAGTTGGTAGTATGACCTAAGACTCACATCATTTTGTTGACCCATTTGAGGTTACTAAGTGGTGGAGGCTCGATCCTCAGTCTAACAAATGCAGAACATCACTTATACAGTGATCACTTACACAGTAATATCTTGAGACTGGGTCTCCAGTCTTTGAGAAGATACGAGTGCCCCGAGACGCCAGGACGACTGGGAGTCTTAGGGGTCTTTCACGAGTGGCATCAATACTGGCACTGGATAGCGAGCAGCCATACAGGCAGTAAGGTACAAGATATCATGATAACTACCCTTGAGGTAACATACAATCTCTTCTCTTTTCCTAACCACGTCTCCGGATTCTCTCTCTTCGCTTCGTTCAAAATACTCTAGTGAATACGTGATATATTTGTGCACTTCATATAGTTAAATGTGCTCGGAAATATGCGACACACCAAGAGGAATTTGGCATATTTTAAGGCAGTTTAAAAGACAATAAACCCAAGTTACGAGAGACGTGGCAAAGCCAAAAAAAACTGCTTGTGTATTTAGATTTGCTAATATGGCTGAAAGACATGCGTTGTTGTGAACTGGGACAGATGTTAACCACTACATTATTTATGCTGATATATTTCATGGGTTGAGAGTTATAACGAAGCCAGTAGGTGGTTTTAAACCCCCTTTTATGGTTACTTTTCCCTCCTGGGTTGAAAGTTGCAAAGAAGCCAGAGAGTGGCTGTAAAAATTAATTTTTTTTTCTATGGGTTGAAATGCTTGAGATCTGTTCTGCAATATACACACATGATCTTTGATTCAGTATTGTGAGCTGAAAACCTCGTATTTTTCACTAGACATTTGCGTTCATGTTTGCGCCTCCTCACTCGACGGAATAAATAACAGTAAGATCACAAAGAAATAATGAAGAACTGGTTTGTGCTTCGTCACCCCATTGTTAGGTGTGAGATTTCTCTCCTGAAGTAGTGCCCCCTCTAGTGTGACTGGTGTAGTGTGGCTAGTGTAGCATGGCTTGTGTAGTATGGCTGGTGTAGCATGGCTGGCATGATGTGGCTAGTTTAGCATGGCCGGTGTAGTGTGGCTGGTGTTATCCCACACTGACCGTGACTCAAAAGCCACCGACTTCAAACGAGTCTTATCCTCAGGGAGGTACATGTTAAAAATCATAATACACTAAGATGATGATGTTTGCCTACTAAGAAGATGTACATCCTCACAGACGTCAAAGTACGTCGTGCTCACTTCTAGAGTCACACACAAACACACTAGTGTAGCGTACGTCACTGCACCACCTCGTAAGCGGGTGGAGGCGTTTCACAGCCTCCTCTGGAGGTCGGGGAATGTGTGGGAGTGGGTAGCAGGATGGCCAGATGGTAGGGCGGAGGGTCACTGCCAGCCTCGGAGGCCACAGATATCTGTGTCCTCTGGTTCGTCAGATCATACGATCTCAGAATGCCATTGAGGGTCCCTCTGGGGACATGGGGGTGTGAGCGACCCACTCTCTCCGTTGCACTTGCAGTTTGTCCGTTGATAAGGAGGTCCGGCGTGGACATGGAGACACGGACGAGAGGGTAAGACACGTGGCGAGGGAGACGGTTGCTGGCGAGGCTGCTGGTGGGGAAGAGAGCCCTCCGACGGGAGGGCGAGGCCGTCTCGGAGTCCAAGGCACATGTCCGCGCATCGTCCTCGAGGTTGAGCCTATGGAGGAGGATGGCTCGAGTCTTAGTGTGGAAGAGCGACACAGAGAAGCACACGAGGAAGAGAAGGATGATGACGAAGAAGATGCCAATGAGTTCGCCTCGGTAGTCGAAGTTCTTGAGGTAGAGGTGGGCGGGCACTAGCAGCATGGTGATGACGATGAAGGCCGCCCACACGCACCAATTGATGCCGCCCATGCGGAACAAGTTAAAGTTGTCGGGGATGTGCGAGTACACAGAGGAGTTGGCGGAGGTCCTGCGGGAGGTGTGGGCGGAGGAAGGCACGTTGAGGCGTGCCAGGCACATCTCTCCCGCGGGCGTGGTGGGCGTGGCGGTGTCGTTGGCCAGGTGGACGCGGACGCTCTCGTCGTCGTCTTCGTCGGGCGTCGGTCGGGAGGCGGAGCCGTGACGTCGGCTGCGTCCCTGAGGTCCAGCACGTCCCTCCCCACACCGACCATTCTCCAGCTGCATCAACTCGATCCGCTGGAACCTGAAGGATACAAGATCAGCAGTGCTGTACACACGCACACACAACACATACACACAAAGACACGCACACACACACTCACACACACACACACACACACACACACACACACACACACACACAGAGGAGCCATGCATAGCTTTAAGAAGAGGTTTGATAAAGTTCGTGGAGAAGAGAGTGGCCTTGTAGCGACCAGCGGAGAGGCGGGACCAGGAGCTGTGAATCGGCCCCTGCAACCACAAATAGGTGAGTACACACACACACACACACACACGAGGCTAGGATGTGGCGGTTCTGGAAAGCGGCAAGTTGACAGGTGGAACCCAGATCTAAGACTCGAACCTGCAACCACATGAGGTGAGTACACGTTGTTCATTGTCCTACCTTCCACACGGGTTTAGATTTTCACATAACTCAATTTCCCTGTCATTTTCATATCCCCCTCTCCGTTCTCTTAACTTGGATCAATGGTAATGCCTTGGGCTCACAATCGAAGGACTCGGGATCGATCCCGGAGCGAGGGGAAACGTTAGACATGTTTACTTACACCTGTTGCCCCTGTTCACTTAGCAGTAAATAGGTACCTGGTTTTAAGTTGACTGTTGTGGATCCCGTCCAAGCGGGATTGTAGCGCGCCTTAGATAGGGCCGGGTTCTGAAAACACTGAGGTAAGATAGGAGAGCTTAGTCTGTAAATGAGCTGAGGTAAGATAACTCTTAGCCTGAAAATTCATGTTGTAAAACAAGACAGAAACGTTTACAGTGGTGTCCAAAGGAGACCCACCTGTGTACGGGGGTGATCAACGGGAGGATGGTGACCCACCTGTGTACGGGGGTGATCAACGGGAGGATGGTGACCCACCTGTGTATGGAGGTGACCAATGGGAGGATGGTGACCCACCTGTGTACGGGGGTGACCATTGGGCGGTAGCGGGGCTTGGGACCGTACGGGCGGGCTGGGCGCACAAACGGAGCTCGCCGCAGACCGCATGCGTTTCTCTTGTCGATCCAGAAGTGCATGACGCCTCCCCCGCAGCACCAGTCTGTGGGCACAGCAACACAACATGTGAGGCACTAAACCCGTGTGGGGCATACAAAGCAAGGAGTGGTGGAAAACTCGATACACCGTCTGCTGATCGTAGCCAGGTATCTAACCTGTCAGGCTTAAGGTAACTAATGTGGCAAAATGTACTTGCCTATATGTGCTCACCTATATTGCAGGGGTCGAGTTCTAGCTCCTGATCGCGACTCTCTCAACTTGCTACTCGTCACATTACTCCTTGCCTCATGGGCCCTATCGTATCTGATCTTAAAACTAAGTATAGTCTACTTCCACCATTTCGTCGAGGTCACTCCATTTACCACCTTGAGCCTGAAGAAAATTTTTCTGACATTATTGTGGCTCGTCTGAGTCTAAGTTCCGGCTATGTCATCTGCTGAGGACGCGGTTAACCTCCAAGAAGATATAAACAAAGTTTTCCAGTGGGCAACGGTAAACAATATGATGTTCAATGAGGACAAATTCCAACTACTCCGTTATGGAAAACTGGAGGAGATAATAACTAGAACAGAGTATACTACAGACTCTGGCCATACAATAGAGCGGAAAAATAATGTAAGGGACCTGGGAGTAGTAATGTCTGAGGATCTCACTTAACATTGTACATGAACATCTCCATTCAAAGCAGGTGAAATCGCAGATCTAGAGAATGTACAGAGATCCTTTACTGCACGTATAAGTTCTGTCAAGCACCTTAACTACTGGGAACGCTTGGAAGCACTTGGCTTGTACTCGTTGGAACGCAGGAGGGAGAGATATATCATAATCTACACTTGGAAAATCTTGGAAGGAATGGTCCCAAATCTGCACACAGAAATCACTCCCTACGAAAGTAAAAGACTGGGCAGGCGATACAAAATGTCCCCAATAAAAAGTAGGGACGCCATTGGTACACTAAGGGAAAACACCATAAGTGTCCGGGGCCCAAGACTGTTCAACAGCCTCCCATCAAACATTAGGGGAATTGCCAATAAACCCCTGGCTGCCTTCAAAAGTGAGCTGGACAGATACCTAAAGTCAGTGCCGGATCAGCCGGGCTGCGGCCAGCAGTAACAGCCTAGTTGATCAGGCCCTGATCCATCGGGAGGCCTGGTCATGGACCGGGCCGCGGGGGCGTTGATCCCCGGAATAACCTCCAGGTATGCCCCAGAGTGCCTATTTCCCACCTCTTAAAAAGCCTATCTCTGTCTATTTTATCAATTCCTCTGAGAATCTGGTATGATGCTATCATGTCTCTCCTGGTTCTTCTGTCCTCCACTGTTGTTAGATTAAATTCCGTTAGCTTATCTTCGCAACTCATGGCCCTGAGCTTTGAAACTAGTCTCGTTTGCACTTTTTCTAGTTTCTAAACATGCTTTTGGTCAGGTGTGGATTCCATGCTGATGCTGCGTACTCCAAGATGGGCCTGAAATATGTTGTATGAAGAGCTGTGAATGACTGTTGAGTTTCCTGAAGGCTAATTAGATGTGACAGACGATCAATGACTGCCAAAGTTTTTCTGGCGATATGCTAGGCATTATGCTCACCCGATACTTGAAAAATTTACAAGGATAGATAAGGAGAAATTGTTCGAAATACGTTGAATATAGAACGTGTGTATAGATGGCGAATAAAAACATTTATGAGTAACAACAATTTTAAATCCTTCAGATTATAGAACGAGTTGGATGATAAGGTTGTAGAAGTGGATTTCATAGTTTCAAGAGAGGGGGTACGTAAGGCGGGGGCAATAGCTAAGATTTTAAAACACACACACACACACACACACACACACACACACACACACACACACACACACACACACACACACACACACACACACACACACAAGAGAAAGTGCAAAGGTTTGCAACAAGACTAGTCCCAGAGCTAAGAGGTATGTCCTACGAGGAGAGGTTAAGGGAAATCAACCTGACGACACTGGAGGACAGGAGAGATAGGGGGGACATGATAACGACATACAAAATACTGAGAGGAATTGACAAGGTGGACAAAGACAGGATGTTCCAGAGATTGGACACAGTAACAAGGGGACACAGTTGGAAGCTGAAGACACAGATGAATCACAGGGATGTTAGGAAGTATTTCTTCAGCCACAGAGTAGTCAGTAAGTGGAATAGTTTGGGAAGCGATGTAGTGGAGGCAGGATCCATACATAGCTTTAAGCAGAGGTATGATAAAGCTCACGGCTCAGGGAGAGTGACCTAGTAGCGATCAGTGAAGAGGCGGGGCCAGGAGCTCGGACTCGACCCCCGCAACCTCAACTAGGTGAGTACACACACACACACGAACGTCTCCAAGATTTCAAGGTTTCACTCTGATTAACTGGATTCGGATATTTTTTACAGTGGTATGAGGGACAAAGTGGCGCTCCCAAGCAGGTTTCGATTGAATGTGACCCAGAAACCACGCTGGAGTTGCAACCTGACACGCCAACCCCAATGTTTATCCTAACTGGCAGACAGACAAGCAAGCTGGTAGGAAGGCATATGGACAGGCAGAGAAATTTGCAAGAAGACAGACAAGCAGACAGACAGGCAGAGGCAGACGGAGATGCAAGGTGAGATGGGGCAAGCAAGTAGGTAAGCTGACAGACATGCAGATAGGCAAACAGGCAGGTAGGAGGGCAGGCAGACGGGCAATAAAGAGCATTTTAAATAATCACATTTGTAAAGAAAAATACAGGATATTAACCCGTTAACTGTCCAAATGTAGATTTACGTTCTCTTGCCCAGACCTGCAAATATTTTGAAAACAAAAGAAAAAAAACAAATCGGTTTTTATATAAAGAGCTCATTTTTCTACGTGTCATACAATTTTTTTTTTAGGGCAACTGATTATTTAACCTAATACTTCATAACCATTTCCAACTGTACGCTACAAAATGCTACATCTACAGCACAAACTACAAAGGTGAGGAGCAAGTTTCCACTGATAAAACTCTACATAGAGTAACGTTGTTACGAATGAAAACTTGATACCTCACCTGTTTCTTCAATAAGTCATCAACAACAGCAACAGAAACACTGGCTGGCAGGAAAAACATGGCCTTCAGGATAACAGCAATGATGGAAATGCTTAGTAGCGAAGTGTAAATCTGCTAGACAACTCTGTGTCGAGAAATTACACTAAATACTAGGTGAACCCTCTCCAGTATGTGTTTTTACATCTGCACAAAGATGCAACACTTAGACACGCGACACGTACATAAACACACAGACACAAGAAAGACATACAAAACAAAAGAAAGTGCAAAGGTTCGCAACGAAACTAGATAAATGACGAATGAACAGAGACTAAACGAACTAAACGTGATGATATTCAATGATAGAAGAACCTGGAGAGACATCCAAGGAGATGTCATTATATGTAGGATACTTAAAGAATTTGACAGAAAGACAAAAGAAACGAAGGTTCGGAGGTGTGAAACGGGTACAAAGGGCACAATGGGCTTAAAGAATGGAAAGATGAAATTTAAGTTAGGCAACCAAAGGATAGCAGAAAATTCTTTTTCACCCTTGAAGTCGATCATTAGCAGAAAGACTGGAGGAAGAAAAGGTGGAGGAAAATTTCCAACACAACTAAAATATAAAATACAGAAACAATAATGAAATACCAGAAATAATAATAATAATAACTAATAATAATAGTAATAATGATAAATAATAATAATAATAATATAATAATAATATAAAAATAATCGATACATGAATATATACACCGAGAGGTGTGCATCACCCTGTATATTTGCACTATTTACTTTAATCCCTGTCTTAGGTATTAAATTATTTTTGACTGGTGGTGAACAGGTGACATGCAGCCTTAATGACCCGCGTGTTGTGGATAGGCTTTAAACCTCATAAATCAACCAACTTTGACTTGAATAAAACACAAACATGTTTTTCTGAGGTAATTTGCTGTATACATTTACTAAAATATAAATATACATATATTCGTTTAACTTAGTCCTTTTCACATTCAGGCTTAAATTAAACACAACAGCAATGAAGGTATCATTTCTTTGTGCTATACTTACTGTCCAGTTTAAAGAGGCCAGAGGACACCTGTCTCACTTATAAAAAGAAGAACACATGACCCTCGTGTTGTCAATAAAATTTAAACCCAACAAATCAATCAGTCTTATCCTCACTGCCCTCGTATTAAAGTTTCGATATTAACATATTTTGCCAGTGTGTTAACGCTACACGATGTAAGTGAAAATATTATTAAAAGAAATACAATCGAGGTTTAGCAGTGTTTCTGGATATTTCAGATGTCTGACAATGACACCTTCACTCTGTAATCAAATTTCGATGTGAAATGACGACATAAACGAATATATTTTGTATATAAGGTGTGGATAACACTGGACTCACTTCATGCCGTGGTCACATCCGGAGCTTTTGCAGGCGTGGAGCTCCTTAGCACAGAAATCCGAGCTCATCCAGCAACACTGGTACTTCTCATCACACTATCAAAGATCCTGGCCCTGTCTCTGGCTCTCTAATTCTGGAGTCCCACATCTCTCCTTGTCGAGAACACGGCAAGAAATTAGACCTCCTATGTACGAGACGGGAGAGGAGAGACAGGGAAGAGGAGGAAGAGGAAGAGGAGGAGGTAGTGGTGCAAGGGGAAGCCTGTTACGTTTTGTTGTGGGATTGCAGTTGCAGCTCCGAGCGCCCCCGTTGCTAGTAGTGACGACCCTGTCCAGCGTCGATTAAATCCACTAGTCTCCGCTATCAGCAGCTGGGAGACAGGCAGCAAGGCTTCTCCTGCCAGCTAGCTAAACACACACTTCACGCATGATGGCTGAGAACCCTTCGTTCGCGTCTTGTAGAACATAATCTAAATATTACCAGGCAACTCTACCAAGAGACAGGACAAATCAATGTTTGGAGTGTTACAACACGAGATGGTCCCTGGCCGCACTCACTGCCACAGAAAACGTACACAACATATTGTCAAAGAAAATGTAGAAAAAAAGCTTATTTAGGATAAGTTAATCCATAATTAGCTAATCTTCCGTGTTTGGTCGATGTTGTTGATGATTTTAAAGAAGCCATTTTAAAAAGGACACCACTAACCCCGAGGCTTAGTAATTCAGGATAACAAAAGAAAGCCATTTAGTATAGTTTGTTTTTACTGGGGTCCTTTGGATCTGTTCCCCAGGATGCGACCTATAACAATGGAAATAAGTTACTGTGACTTTTGTGGGTAATCCTAGATACTTTACACATTTGCTGCTATGTATAATAATCTATGTAACTGTATTTGTGTATACCTGAATAAACTTACTTACTTACTAATACCCAGATACCGATCGCGAAACGGGTGGAGATCGAACCCATGGCAGCCAACTCATGGCAACAAGTTCTAAAACTCATAGGTAATCGCGTTATTACAGTCTCGTGACCCAGATACCTAATTATTGCTAGGCTAATAAGTATAAGAAGACCTATCCAAAGTCTTTACTCGAAATTTATTCTTCAGTGTATGATAAAGCAGAGTTTGAATGAGAATAAGTGTTAGACCGAGTGGACAGTTGAATGGCTCCAGTTGTGTTAACTGTGATCCCATCCTTGATAATAGACAGTGATTCTGAGACTGAATCATCAAGTCTGTAAGGGTCAGTGTCCAGTATTCTGAGTCGTGGCTTTGCATGGATGATCCTCGGCTATGGTTTAATCGCGAATCGCTAGAAAGCTGATGCACACACACACACACACACACACACACACACACACACACACACACACACACACACACACAAAAATTATATATATATATATATATATATATATATATATATATATATATATATTATATATATATATATATATATATATAATATATATATATATATATATATATATATATATATATAAGAGAAGGAAGGGTATATTTCACTCTGTGATGTATAGTTATTTTTTTTTTAGTAAAATAAAGACAAAGTCACGAATCTTATTATTTTTCATCGTTACTTGGCCATAAACTTCAATATAAAAGCCAATAAAGACAGGAGGAGGAGAGAAGCAAAGTCATTTGTGTATTTTCTTAAGCTGTTGTGATGGCTAGACCTCACCTGCTGATGCCAGATTTTTTTGTTGTAATGCAACCCTGACACCCCTGCAAGTAAGACTAGCAGAATCCATATTTTTTTCCAGGTGTGAAAATGTACTGAGGTAAAGATGAGACCGCTGTTTACAAGACCAGAAACAAGGAGCTTTGTTTCGAGGAGGAGGAAGAGGAGGAGATGTTGGAAATAAGTCACTTTGACTTTTTTTTGGGTTATCCTGGTGGGTAATCTGCATATGCTACTAGGTATGATGAATATAATTTGTGTAACTGTATTTTTGTGTATCTGTACCTACTTGCTAACAGAGTCTCCCACGCATCTAGTCACTGGAGTGAACCTTCATCCCGAGCGCTATCAACTGGATACGATGTCATGCCACCGCTGAGTGTGTCTTAGTCAAGTGTACAGTCAGATATGCAGCAACAATTCCTCGCCCAGTCAAACGTAACCATTTGCACTATTTCACTCATGAACGCAACAGCCTACAAGACTTAAGAACATAAGACAGGAGGAACACTGCAGCAGGCCTACTGGCCCATACTTGGCAAGTCCTTTTCAAACCCTTTAAATAAATTAGAAAAATAAAAAAATATTTTAATAAATTAAAAAAATTTTAAATTTTTAATATAAAAATAATAAAAAAAAAATGTTTTTAAAAGTTTTTACCCAAAAAAAAAAAACCACAAACCCCGAAACCCCAAAAATTTAATTAAAAATAAAAAGGGGGAAAATAAAAATTATTTTTTTTTTAATAAAAATTTAAAGTTTATTTTTTTTAATTTTTAAAAAATAAATAAAATTTAAAACTAGAAATATTTTTTTTGTAAAAACCCATAGTAGACTTTTTTCATGAGCTTTCAAAGAAAGAAAAAAAACATTTTTTTTTCCGGGTGGGAAACATAGACTGGTAATGAAATAAGTGAATTTTTTTAACCCCAAGAACAGGGCCCCCACCGAACCTACATTGGGGGGAAAAAAGGTATAAATGTTTTTATTTGGGGCCTCCCTGGGGGTTTATTCAAGGGAGAGATTACCCCAACCCCGCCACAAACTAAACCAGACACCCAAAAACCCAACACCCAGGTTTAAAGGAACTTAAACCCTGAACCCAATGGATTGGGCAGCCCCAAAAAAAACCCAAAAAAATTTTTCCCCACCCCTTTTCTAATATATCCCCAACGCCTTTAAAAAATTAAAATTTTCCGAAAAAGTTCCTCTGCAATCTTTAAAAAACCCAAACCAAAAATCAAATTTTTTAAAATTTAAAACCCAAAAATATACCTCCAAAAAAAACATTTAAATTTTATATGGGACTTTATAGGGATAGAACCCCAAATCAGAATTTTTTTAATTTAAATTTAAAATTTTTAAATTTAATTATTTATTATTAAATTTTTTTAATTTAAAATTTAAAATAAAACCCCCCCAAAAACAAAAAAACCCCCAAAAAATTTTTTGTGAAAACCTTCAAAGCTCCCCTTTTCTCCGAAAATTTAAAACACAAAGGGGATTATAACCCAAAAAAACCGGGGGGGCCGGAATAAATTTAAACCCTTTTGAGATTTCCCCAAAGCGCCCCCCCCGTAAAAAGAAAGGAAAAGCGGAAGGCGTTCCCCGGGGTTTTGCCCCAACCCCCCCCAAAAAAAGGGGCCCCAAAGTTCCCGCAAGGGGACTAGCGGGGCCCAAAACCCCAAATTCTAAAAACCATACCCCCGCAGGGCTAGGATTCCCTGAATTACGGGGGGGGGAAAACCCAACCTAAAAAAAAAAACCCCCCCAAAGGATTAAGTTCCCAACCCCTTATTTTTTCCCCCTTTAAAACCTGGGGCCCCCTTTTTTTCTACCCACATTTATTAAATAAATGTTTAAAATTAAATTTTTCCCCTCCCTTTTTGGTTTGGTAAGAATTATGGGGGTTTGGGGGGAGGCCCGGGTTTTTAAGGGTTTATACCCCCCCAGAAAAGATAAAAAATAAAATTTTAAAAAATTAAAAATATTTGGGGGGAATTTTTATAAAAAAATTTCCCCACCCCCCCATCCCCCCCCCCCCCCCCCCCCCCCCCCGCCTCCCCCCCCCCCCCCCCCCCCCCTACCTCAAAAAGGGGCCAAAAACGAATTAAAAAAATTAAATTTTCTAGGGCAAAAGCCAAAGGAAAAATTCTAAGGGTTTGTATTGAGCATTTAAAGGTCTTACGTTTTTTGGTAACTTGCCGGGGTGGGGCAATTTTTAAAAAAAATTTTAGCCCAGTTTGAACACGTTTGGGAATTCCCTTCCATTCAGGCAAAATCCGGGGGTTCCCTGGATATTGCTAAACACTTTGCCACTTAGAAAAAATTAAGGGACCGGGCAGCTTGGGCTGTTAAATAACTTTAAAAAAAAAATTGGGGGCCAAAATCTATCCCCAGGGCCATAGTTCTGGCCCACAAAAACCTCCCCGGGATAAAGCCCGTCTCCCCCCCTAACCAGTACACTGTCTCAACTTATCCCGGGGGGGTGGGAAAATTTTTTAACCCAAAACGGGCCCCCAACCCCCGGGGCCCATGCCACGGGAAAATTGGGGCCCTTTTAAGGGAGGCCCCCCCAAAGGGCCCCTGCTAAAGTTAAGGGGCCCCTGAATGAAATACCCCAAAACCCGAGGCACTAAACAAAAAAAGTTTGGGAAAAATTTTTTAAACCTCGGTTGACCCCCTTTTTTTTTACCTACCCCCAGTTGGCCCCTTTTTTGGTATTTTGCCCATTAAACACCTTTTTTTAAACTACCCATTACACTGTTTTAATTGCCGTGCACCTGTTTTCCCCTATGCCCAATTGACACCTGTTTGGACTATGCCGTTGAGCACCTGTTAGGGCACTTGCCCATTTGGGCATTTGTTTCCCTATCCCCATTGAGCCCTGTTTGGCCCCATCCCATTGAGCACAGTTTCACCTATCCCCAGTTGGTTTTTTTTTTTTGCACCTTGCATTTGAAACCTGTTAGGCACCTATGCTAAATTGAGCACCTGTTATCCCCTTGAATTTGAGCACCTTATCACTATGCCATTTAGCCCTTTATGGAAACTATCCCCAATTCACCTGTTAGGGCACCTCCCCGTTGAGCACTTTTATAACACCTATGCCCATTAAAGCACCTTTTAAAACACCTATTTTTGTTGAGCCCTGTTATAAACCTTGCCCGTTGAGCACCGTTATAACCTTTTGGCCCAGTTGACACCTGTTATAACACCTTGCCCTTTGAGCACCTTTAAAACCCTATCCCATTGAGCACCTGTTATACCCCCTATGCCCATTGAGCACCGTTTGACACCTATCCCCATTTTTGAGCACCTGTTATCCCCCTTCCCCAATTGAGCCCCTGTTATCACCTAGCCCAGTTGAGCCCCCTTTAAACACCTACCCCATTGAGCACCTGATTTGACACCTATGCCAATTGAGAAACCTTTATGGCACCTATGCCCGTTGAGCACCTGTTTAAACCTATGCCCTTTGAGCCCTGTTATAACCCCTATGCCCATTTGAGCACTCTTTGCACCTACCCCGTTAGCACCGTTAGGGCCCCCTATGCCCATTGAGCACTGTTTTAACACCATGCCCATTGAGCACCTGTTAGCACCTATGCCCAGTTGAGCACTGTTATAACACCTTGCCCAGTTGAGCCCCTGTTTAAACCTATGCCCGTTGAGCCCCCTGTTATAACACCTTCCAGTTGGCCCCTGTTTGCACCTATCCCCATTAGCCCCTGTTAAACACTATGCCCAGTTAAACCCCTGTTTGCCCCTATGCCAAGTTGAGACCTGTTATGCACCTATGCCCAT